ATCAGAGAAACAACATCTTTAAAGCCAACTCGTTTCTTTCCACCTGCCCTGCTCTCTCCTCTCACTGAGGACGGCCTCAGAGGGCCCACCCACCACTGGCAGAAATGAGGAAACAATGGTCAGCCCTGGGTGACGAGAGTGCGGACAAGTAGCAGCTCCTTCTAAGAATCAACTCAGGCCCGGCAGTGTGGCTCAGTGGTTGGCCACTGACCTATGAACTAGGAGTTCCCAGTTCAAATCCCAGCCGGGGCACTTGGCCAGGGGGCGTGTGGGAGGCAGCGGGTCAATGACTCCCTCATCATTGATGAGTCTATCTCTCTCCCTCTCCCTTCCTCTCTGAAATCAATAAAAACATATTTTTAAAAAAGAATCTATTCAGGAGGATATGAAAAGTTTCTCTGGGTCTAAAATCCTGCACACCGGTTTAAGATGCCTTATTTCTAGCCGTCTTTGGTAGAATCTAGAGTGACGGAGAGATGTAGCCATATACCCAAGCAGGAGACATGAGCACCTATGTAAGAGCAGGTCCTTGGATAGGAGACCATGGGGCCTACAGAACAGGCGTGACAGGGACCATGATCCCTGCCCTGGTGCAGGGCAGAGCTTTTGGATGGGCAGGAAAGGGGGAAGGGCACAAAGGAGGCCCTAACCCAAGCTGGGCGTAACCTCTGAAATTCCCATAGCATCGTATCGATGCCCTGCATCTCCCGTTCACGAGCCAGACAAGCGTTGGTCTGGTTCATCTTGGCCGCCTCAACAGTTCCTGGTTGACGCCATGAGAGGACTCCGGAGCCAGGTGGTGCGTTGAGTTTTGCATTTCACAGATGGTGTCTATCCATTTCAACAGTGAACTGTCTGAGGAACAGTGATTTATTCAACTACTCATTTCACTTATTCAACAAATATTTATTGTGAGCTAAGACGCTGTTCTGACTTCTGGGGGCAGAGGCAAAATTCATAAAGCTTGCATTCGAGTGTGAGGAGATGAACAAAACAAATGAAGATGTAAAGAGCGTAGGCTGTCAGGCAGTCGTCGATGCTGCGGAGGTAAATGAAGCCGGGAAGGGGCTCTTTAAAAGGGAGGATCAGAAAAGGCTTCCTGTGCAGTGGTACTTGAGCAGACACCGGGAGGAGGTGGCGGAAGGCCCTTCCAGGGGCCAGGCTCTGGGTCGCATCTGGTGATCAAGGAGCAGCAAGGAAGTCGGAAGTTTGTCCTGTCCAGGTCTCATCAACACACAGCACGGGTCCCAGTCTAGTGCCAGAATCCTAAACCTAAAAAAACGGTTTGTGTTCCATGGGCAAATACAGTGGATAAATTTGATAATGTTTAGGTTTTGTTTTTTTTCCTTCTATATATCTTTGTTTGAACATATTTCATTTATAAGCTGATGTTAAGTTTTTAACATGCCCTTTTTAAAAACTTTATTTATTTTGTTATTTTTTAAATCCTTGCCCGAGGATATTTTTCCATTGATTTTTAGAGAGAGTGGGAGAGGGACAGACAGAGAGAAATATGGATGTGAGAGAAATGCATCCCTTGGTTGCCTCCTGAATGAGCCCCGACCAAGGCCCGGGCCAGAGAGGAGCCTGCAACCTAGTATGTGCCCTTGACGAGAATTGAACCTGGGACCCTTTGGTCTACAGGGTGATGCTCTATCCACTGAGCCAAACTGGCTAGGGCAACATGCTTTTTTAAAAAAAAACATTTTTACCATTTTAAATTGTATAATTCAGTGGCATTAAATACATTGTGCTGTGCAACCATCATCACTATCCATTTCCAGAACTTTTTTATCATCCCAAACAGAAACTCTGGTCCATTAAACACTAACTTCCCTTTTCCCCATATCCCTAACTCCCTGCTAACATCTACTATACTGTACTTTTATGAATTTGCTATTCTAGGTACTTCATATCAGTGAAATCATACTATGTGTCTGGCTTATTTCACTTAGCATGTTTTTAAGGTTCATCCATATTGTAGCATGTATCAAAATTTCTTTCCTTTTTGTAATTCAATAATATTCCATTATATGTACAGTGGGACAAAAGTAGGCTTACAGTTGTTTGAATGGAAAATAACACAATAATTTGTAAATAATAATACAAGAATAAACTGTGTTTCACATACAATTGTAAACCTCTTTTTGTCATACCCAGTGCAGTGGGGCCTTGACTTACGAGTTTAATTCGTTCGAGACCTCGAGCTCGTTAAGGAGCTCGTTAACTCAAATTACTCTATCAATTCAATGCAAAAAATCGGCCGAGAGACAGCTGGTATCTCAAAAAACTCGTTAGTCGGGACACTCGTAAGTCAAGGCCCCACTGTATTTACCACCTTTTATTTACCCATTCATCTATTGATCATTTGTTGTTTCCACCTGCTGGCTCTTGTCCTGCTATTATGAACATTGGTGTACAAATACCTGTTTGAGTTCCTGCTTTCTTTGGAGTGCATATCCAGAAGTGGAATTGCTGGGTTATATGGCAATTCTGTTTTGAGGAACTGCCAAAACTTTCCATAGTGGTTGCACTGCTTCATATTCTCAGTAGCAATGTACAAGGTTCCAATGTTTCCTTGTCAACATGTTCTTTGTTTGTTTTGAATAGCCATCCTAGTAAGTGTGAAGTAACACCTCATTGTGGTTCAGGTTTTAGTTTTCGCACTGACTCCAAATTTGTGAGCCATCTTTAATAGTATAGGTAGTTTTAGTTTTGGTCCTAGTGGCCCTTTGTTTTTTGACCCACTTCTATTTAAATTTATATCAGAGATTCTCAACTAGAGGCAATTTTCATCCCCAGTCCCTCCCTACCAAGGACATGCAGCAATGACTGGAGGAAGACATTTGCAGTTGTCATACGCAAGGAGGGGATGCTACTGATATTCAGTGTGTAGATGCCAAGGATGCTGCTAACCATCCTACAATGTACAGGCCGGTCACGTGCAGTAATTTGGCCCCAACAGTGCCAAGGTGGAGAAACCCTGGACTATAACTATCTTGCCATAGTTCATGTACCTTTATAAAGTACCTTAAATCCTTTTGGGAATAAGGCAGAATATGTAGTATACTACGGCTTCTAAGTGATATTAACATTGTGATAAAAATGCAGAAGCCATAAATTTCTTATAATAGCATCTATATGTATATTCTAATTATAGATATTTGAATACATTTATTGAATTAGTTGCTAATCTATATAATAGAAGCCCAAGTGGCCATTACAGCAGAACGACTGGTTGCTATGATCACACTGACCCACCGGGGGCAGAGGCTCAACGCAGGAGCTGCCCCCTGATTGTCAGTGCGCTCCCACAGGGGGAGCACTGCTCAGCCAGAAGTCAGGCTCAGGGCTGGTGAGTGCAGCAACAGTGGCAGGAGCCTCTCCTGCCTCCGCGGCAGGACTAAGGAGCAGCGAGCCGAGCAGGAGCAGTGAGCTGAGTGGTAAGGAGCAGCAAGCAGGTGGGTGGTAAGGAGCGAGGGGTCCTGGACTGCGAGGGCGCAGGCTGGGCTGAGGCACTCCCCCCACGCGCCACACAGCATCGGCCTGCAGACTCAAGGAGCCTCTAGTTATTTTAACTAAAATACAATGAGATGAAACTATTGCCATTAATATTTTTTTAAAAATTAGTATGGCCCTAACCGGTTTGGCTCAGTGGATACAGCATCGGCCTGCAGACTCAAGGGTCCCAGGTTCGATTCTGGCCTAGGGCATGTACCTTGGTTGCGGGCACATCCCCAGTAGGGCGTGTGCAGGAGGCAGCTGATCAATGTTTCTAACTATCCCTCTCCCTTCCTCTCTGTAAAAAAATCAATAAAATATATTTAAAAAAAATTAGTATGTTCCTGAAGGAAATAGCAAATCTAGATATCTGGCCTTTGATTACATTGAAAAATATCACATACCAGCCTCTGTCTGGTACTAATCACACATGGGGAACCAGGTGGATATGGTCCCTGTACCCATGGGGCACAAACCTCACTACTGAGTATCTGATGTTGGGCCAAGCAGTTTTCGTGTTTTGCACCTCACTGTTTTTTTGTTTTTTTTTTCAGAACTGCAATTTCTGTGATTTAAATCACATATTCCCATGTCTTTAAGTTAATTACCTGGAGATTTTTCATTTTCTCTCTGAGCTGCCTCATTACCTTGGTTATTCATGGCGTTTGATGGACTCCTCCTCTGACTAGACATCAATGTATGAGTGGTACTTCTCTGTAGACTTTTTATTGTTTTGATGCATCTTCCCTTTTGAGTTGAATAGTTTAAGGAAACAAGAATTCGTATAAAATGAAAAACTTTAATTGTTTAAAGCAAAGGCACAAGTAAACATTTCAGGATATCATACAATGTTACAATAAGAAATTTCAATGGTAAAATAAAATACATTATAATTTTGCATATCTATAGTGTAATGTATTACTCTAGCTGCTAGAGTCTAGCATAATGTATTACTCTGGCATCTCTTCTTTGGAGTGAAAAGGGGACAGGTAGATCAATGGATATGGTATAAAAACTTAGATTATAAATAGCATACACTCCACTTTTAATTTCAGTAGAATGAATTAAAATTAATTAATTTTAAAATGTACTGTTTTGTTAATGATAGAGCAACAAGAACTTTCTTGCTAAAGTTCATTGTTTTAATAAAAGTAAATCATTGATTTCTGAATTGTTAGCTGTCAACATCTGGTAGTATAATCACCAAGCTGGCCATAAAAGGGCTTTACCAAAATACAATTCATCTACTTTTCTTATTTAAATCTAAAAATTATAGTGCATTATGTAAAAGATAAAGGATGAGGAGCCAAATAATTTCTTATGTCATAAATAATATACTTTAAAAGGTCTACACCTTGTTTTCAATCAAAGGCACTATCTGGAGAGTAACAAGTTGCATCATGAGCCAAGAAAAAGTTGTTTTTTTCTTTCAAAATAGCCAGCCAGTTACTTGGGATTTGATGTCTCAATTTGTCATCAAATACTGAGTGCCTGATATTTATCAATAAAAAGGGTAGATGTGGTATAAAGTTACATCTTTGACTTCTTTTTCCAGGATGAAAAATTTACCACTAATTTTTAAAAGAGTGGTTGAAGTATTTTCTTGACCTAAAAGTTCTGTTTCATTACCTCAATGCAATTTCCACTATATTTAGGTCATCTGTAGGCCTCTACCCTTAGTCTTTCAACCCAGGGTGGCAATGACGCCAGGAAGGTGACTAGCCCAAGGGAGTAAGTGTGTGTTATTTTAATTTATTATGAGTTTTAAAAATTTATTTCATTTGCTCCCCCCAGGCCCCAATATTCCTCAATTCTGTTTAACTGAGTAACATTTAAATGACAAAATAATTAAAATCTATCAAGAAAACATTGTCAATGTCCCAAAGTCTTAATTTGAATAAAATGGAATCAAATCAGAACACAGCATCCTATTGCATCTTAAAGGTCAGGAAGATTTTAAACTCTTCTAAGGAGTATTTGAATCAAAGATCTTGAATGAGAAGATTTTTTCTTGTTTTTCATTGTCCAAATTACAAGAGTATCAATCAATTAAGGTTTACTTACCGTGATTCTTTTAATACCTAATTCCAAATCAGGAAAAGTACTAAGAAATTCTCTAAGCATATCTTTCAAGGTTTAGAATTCAAACATGATTACAGAAAGATGTTCTTTCTTTTAAAGTCAGATAACAACATTGACTGAATGAGGCATACCTTAAAGGTCAATCACACATACTTTAAAGGGCAGTGCTGGGATTTTGGAATCCTTTCTTTCTCCATTTCCAAAGACATAGCTATCCTTCCAAATCTGTCTATGGTGTCACAGACTTCATGATATAAAATAGCTGACACACGTTTCACTTTGAACAATTTTGAATACAAGATCCACCAGGAAATTTTAGGTTTCCAAACTATTAACTCAACAGCAAAAGCAAATGGTCTGATCCTCTATATAGACAAATTGAAGAAGCAAGCAAACATTTTAGAGTATCTAAATCAAGGGTCAGCAAACTTTTCTCTAAAAGGCCAGACAGTAGATAGTTTAGGCTACTCAGCTTAGCCACTGTAACATAAAAGTAGCCATAGACAGGATATAATGCATAGCTATGGGTATCCAATAAAAACTTATCAATATTGAAATCTGAATTTTATGATTTTCATGTAACAAAACATCCTTTTGATTTTTTTTTCTTCAACTATTTGAAAATGTAAAAAAGCTTTCTGCTTGAGGTCATGTAAAGACAGAGAGTTGGCTGGAATTGGCTCGTGGGTGCAGCTGCTGACCTCTGGTCTAGATCATTCAGATTTCTTGATGTGGGTGTACAAGCAATCATGAGGCCATGAATCATCTCATTTCACTTGAACCTCAACAGCCTCTAGGCTGACAGTAATGAACCCCAAAGCACCAGTCAGGCAATTCTAGTAGAGTAGTTATCTACACTCAAAAGCTGTGAAGTGTGATTTAAACTTATTTAAAATCACACTAATTATCAGAAAAGCAGAGAATGGAGAAATTCATTAGCTGAACCTTTTCAAACACTTTGGCGTCAGAGAGATCTGCATTACAATCTTGGTCTGCTACGTACCATGTGACCACAGGTAAGACATTTAAGCACTAGAATTTAGGCTGGTGCTACAGACACAGCAGGCATGTTCTCGGTCTCGTTTCTCAAGCAAATAGCTATCACAGGGCTTCCTGGAGAAGCCTAATCCACGGAGATGCATAACCTTAATTCCTGGTGTTAGACATAAAACTAGTTTTGTCTCTTCTACTCCATTCTGTAATATGTATTTTTTTCTGCAAGCAACATTTGTGCAAAATTGTATCTCTATACTAAATCCAACCTTCCCATCTTATCCTCCAAGGCTATTTTTTTCATAGGATGCTGATGAAAATGAAAGTAGGAAGCATCCAGTGAACATATTCTTGTCTTTCCATAGTGTAAGTGTAATTTGGGTGTTTCCTCCAATTTATCAATGATAGATACTCAGTTTCCTAGAAAAAAATAGTCTAGATGATAAAAAAAGGGAAGAATTGGTAGAAAATAATTCTTATGGCTTTATCTATAGATTAGTAATTAAAGAATCTGAAGATAATGATTTGTAGATATTATTGTTCAGTATCTTGGACTTCAGTCCACTGCTTAATTTATATTAAGTAGAATATTAGCACTAAGTAATATGTGCTATAACTTCTTTAATCATGGACAATTTATTAGTTTCATACATGTGAAGTTAAAAGGTCTTACCAATAGTGTTTTTGAGCAAGCATCAGTTATAAATCTGCTAGTGTTGAATGCTAAGCAAAGTACTAAAACTATTAAAATATTAGTGTTTGGTTTTATTTTCAATTTCCTTTTAACTTTGTATTTACAGAAGTCCTGTTAGAATGCTGAAGGCAGTCACTTTGCAACATGTACATTCTCCATATAAAATGATGTTCAATGTTGGGTGATGCAGATTTATAAATTATGTACAAAAAACAATATATTTGTAGTTAACTTACTGCGCTGGGTAATAAGCAATATATGGAAGTATCATATGATATGCACATAAAAATTAGAAATTCAAACGAACTTAAAACTCTCAAGACAGTTAACCCTTAATTTGTATTTAAAACATTATATGGGAAAAAGAACTGTGTTTGGGAACTTTCAGTGGTCTACTAATAAAGCAGTAATTTCAATTGGGGGGAAAAATTCCCTCAAACACAAAGCATAAGATAAATCTGATGTGTGTCTTGGTCAAATGTTTGTAGACAGCTGCCCTGAAAACAAATTGATAAACGTAAATATACAATTTGTTTACTAAGCATAAAATATTGCACAAGAGCAGTTTTGTCTGAAGAAAATTAAATTTTCCATAGTTCAGAACTTCAAAATGGTTTCCACATATAGATATAATTACATTTTCTACACAAGAAACATTAAGATTCAGTAATACTGCTAGAACCTTATTTTTCACATTAACCATAGTCCAGTCTACTTTATGGCAATGGTCAGTCAGTGGTGACGGTTTGGCAAAGGTCAAAAGGCAGATAAGATTGAAAAATACATATATGTACATATGAAACAGATATGTCCCCAAAAACCCTTAATCATATAACTGATCCTTTAAAAAAAAATCCAGTCTAGTTCACAGTGATGGTCAGACAGTGGTTGAGTACGATTCTCTCTTTCTTGGGGGCTGTTCCTTTTGATCCACTTGATTGCCCTCTCTGGTCTCCATCACACTGTCTTCTGTTTCGCTTTCACTACCATCTGCCACAATGGGGTCTAAAGACATCGCGCCAGACTTTCTGTGCAAAGGAAAACCAATGCCACTCTCCCGCAAGGAATTCTCTATGAGATCTTCATCAGAGGAATGGGATGAGTCATCATCTCCTATTAAGTGGTTGACAATGTGGATTCCATCAAAAGGGGGTTGGCCCAAGAAGCCCCTCTGGCCTTTGAGGCATCTGAGCTGTCAAAACAAAATCCAAGTTAATATAGTCACCTGTGGAAAATACATACACACCTCACCAAGAAAGCAAACATTTCATGTTTAAGGAAGATGAAACATTGATTTCCTCCTATTTATAGATAGAATAGTAACTACCAATTTTTGAGCAACTCCTGTGTGTTACGTAGTCGGCACATTATGGTAGATTTCATTACCCTCATTTCAGAGATTAGGAAACAGACTCAGGTAGAGCAAGTTGCTGAGGACACATAGCTAACAGTGAAGTTTAGAATCAGACTGAACTTTCATTTTACTAGAGGTAATACAATGAACCCCATGTACCCCTCACCTAACACAACTAACACAACATCAATAATCTAATTACAGTATACCTCTCCAGTCCCTGGATTATTTTGAGGTAGAGCTGAGATATCCTATCAGTTCACCTTTAAATATTTCAGAAGATATGGACTTAAAGGCCATACTACAAACTATCACACTGTCTTTTAAGAACATGTCTCCTTAATTCAGTGAATCATGAAAATAATTTACAAATCATTAAAATTTGCTTTAATGTCCTGTTACAATATCCTAAGAACTACCACACCACTATCACTCTGTTAGAGCAGGA